CGAAATTTTAGCAGGTTACATATAGGCTTTCCATTTTTTCGGGAATATTTCTGTGATGAGCTTGGGTGTAATTTACTTATTTACTTACATTCTTTCTACAGGTCAGTTATGTCAATATCACACACTTTCAAGAACAGATAAATGAAATGGGTCAAACGGACACCCTAAACTGTTTTATCTGACTCCATCAAAGACTTTGGAGACGCGGTTACCCGAACGTTAGCTTGGTAGATCGCTAACAGAACGGCCCAAGGGCCTTGATTAGGGCACGTTGTCATTTGGCGGACAAGATGCAGCAAACCGTGAATGGATATGCGATATAAGCTATGGTAGAGTAGCTAGCATCTCAACCAAGGTGATGGTCCCCTCATCCTACGGATACCTTGATAGGCCTTTTATCGGTATAGATATTTTTCCTAGTAAAAGAGACTTTTGAAAGTTGTAATCCCTACTAATCAATATAACTCGTTGAAATGACTTGTTTTGTTTTCAAAGTGAAGTTGCCATCGCCTCGCGCTACTCTTATGCTTCTTTCGTGCTTAGCAACCTCCCGCGTGCACCATAACTCAATAGTGTACGCTGTGGTGTTTACCATTTGTTAAATATATATCTTTTTTAATCAATAAAGACACTATACGTATCATAAATATATTTTATCATTATAGATGTTCGGATGAATTCCGTAGGTTACTGAACACAGCCCTTAATCTTAGCGCTGTCTCGAAACTTGACCTTATAACTCGTTCTTGCAGAATTAAACATGGCATGCTTTAGCCAGTAGGAGCTGGAATTCAGTATTTAACGTCAATGGATACTGAGCAAGTATTTCAAACTTGCGAAGTTCTCCTTCATGTATGAGTGCGGACCGCGGGTGCAAACAAAATAAAATAAAGACAATACTTTTTCTTCTTGTAAAATTGTGAAATACCAGTGGATTTATACTAAATCGGTTAATTAAAATCAGTTCGCGATTGCAATACACGATAACTATAATTTGGGCTTGTCCTCATAAATTATCACGCAATAAATTTTTTGAGTTTGTAATTGTTTACTAGAGACCACAGATAAAATTTGTATGTATCATTCCAGAGTTTTCCGCCAAAAAGCGCCGCTGCACAATTGTTACAAACTCGTTCCTAGTCTGCGGTCAGCAGACAGCTTAAATGTACAGATATCGTGGTAAACAATCTCAAAATGATTGATGTTTATGTGGGATATTAAAGGAGTAAGGAAAGCATTAAAGCAACGAATAACTTGTCACTTAAATGTTTGTATTC